ACGAGAAAGAGAACGAGTTGAGGTGTCATGATGAAGACTTTTTGGATTTTATGAGCCTGGATTGGCTAAACATGAAAAGGATACGTATGTGGTACAATATAACACTGTATGAATTGATGATGCACCTTCATGTATTGCAAGTACAAAGATGCAAACTATACGGAAAGTATCTACTATTATTTCTCTCAAGGCGATAGAAGTAGTCTGGTTTCTTGGTACTACAAAATTATGTGTGATATATAATTAAATATATTTGTAGCTATACAAGTATCTGGTTCTACTGGCTTCGTCATACCCACTTCAATTACCATGCGTGGATGTAGTTTATTAAACATTTGCTGCCATAAGCGTTAACAAACCAGCTAAAATTATAACAGCAGGACCACTCCAAACCGCTTTTGCTGTTGATGACGGAGAGTCAGCTTTAGTGTTCGTTGTTGAATTGCCGCTGGAGTTAGTCGCAGAAGTTGAGCAATTATACGTTGGCCATAACGTCTCGTCAGAAGTACTCGCAGCATCTCCCGGATTTGAGACGCCACTAGACCAAAGAGCAGCTTTCGCAGACTCTGATGTCCACTCACAACATGGATCACCAAGTTCCTCACCATTCGTTTGTCCATCACCATCCGAGTCTTCCGTGCAAAGCTCCGTCGTCCATGTGTGACCGGCATCACTAAATTTTATGCCAAATGCGTTTCTAGCGCCACCTCCACCAGAATTTGTATGGCCAATCGCTTTCACACCATCGACATTTGCACCGTTAGGGACTTTAATAACATATGCCTCGTAGCTTAACACTGGAGTGATAAAAAGAGATGAAGAGACTAGAAAACCAGCTGGCGAGAACCGAGTCATATTTCTTATAACGTTGTAGATATTGAAAGAAGATGCAAGGCTTAAAGAAAGTACGGGGTAACACGATGAGTCGCGAAACGCAAGTGAGGTGTTAGCGACAGTCGAGATTAAGCTTGGTAGTTCTTCCTCGTCATCTGGTCGAGAACATAGTACTCTTTTTTTTAGGATTTGTCATCGCTGCTCTATGATTAGTAAATTCTTGTGTACTATTTATTTCAAAGCACATATCTGGTCAAACGGAAGAGATATATTTATTTACTCTGCGTTCACTTTGCTGATACTGATATTTATATTCTGCATAAAAATACATGAGGATACCGGACACTTGCGCGTTGGCTAACCTTAGCGAACTCCGTAAAGACGATTAAAATGTAACATGTCAGCTGATAAATCATTTTCGGATCAGATACTTCGTAATCCCTGATCTGTTATTATTTCTATTTTCTCTTCATATCTTGTTGATATCTATCGACGTGTTAGTATAGTCTGTGTGTCATGTGTTTAGTATCAATTGCACTGAAGTTTATCGCGGCAACCAGTGATCAGTAATTACTATTTGTAGTCACTACCCACGCGCACCTAGACTATCGAAAGCAGAATGTGTAGTGTTCTATCTTTTCAATATAGATAATTGTGTAAAAGTATAAACTCAGCAAAGATACTTAAATTCAATGGGAAAACAGCAGCGATAGTACTCAGTGCCAAAAATTCGTATATTGCGGCAATGAAACTAAGCATACCCTCATCAAGTAACCTGGTATCGCATCAATGTTTCATGTTTGGAGGGCAAGGAATCAACCCCCGAGTACAATTAATGACGAGCACATTGGAATTACATAATAGTGGATTAAGCACATAAAGGTTTCACATGTTCAACAAATTTAAGGCAACAGAAGAAGCGCCTACTGACCTTATCCTCTGTACATGCAGCAAATGGTGTTTATAACGCGCTGGCTTGACAAAAGCCAATATCAAGGCTTCGTCTTGTTAAACTATGATTTCTGGCCTTAACTTTTACGTCAATTGTCCATACTGATATTAGTTACATGCTTGATGTTTTTCATGGGTACAAATGAAAGCATCAGATAATCTAATGCTTCGCGTCATCATTGCATCTCACCGTGACCGTTTCTACAACCGTTTTCCTAAGTTCGTTAGAAATGGAAATGATACAATGAGAAACCGCTGGATCAGGAGTTCGCTGACTCGATGGTATTTTCCAAACACACTTCTTGAACAGATAATGGTTTCTTCAATTATTATAATGGTTAAAGAAATGTGATAATTGAAAATTTCGCATTCAACATTTCTGTGACATGGTGTAATTCATAAGAGACATCAAGAACTTCAGTCTTGCGCAACTCGAGACATTTGGATACGTTACGGCTCGAAGATCGCTCAAAAGATTGATGTTTGATGGCACGGTCTGTGGTTGAGCTCATACTGCTCACAAAACGAAAAGGAAGTTGGTTGTTTATATTCTTGTGTGAGCGCTAAGGCATCAAACGAGGCCGATTTCGGTGAACCGCATGAGGACGTAGAAACCACATAGCTAGATCATCAAGTGCACACGAATCTTTAGCAGTCAGCAATACACGCTGTAACACATTGTACCTTGTTATGGCTATAGCTCTCAGGATAATTTTGTGCTTGCAATTGCAGTTCTAGTGATAAATTAAAATATTTGACGTCAACTTTGTAAGGATGTTTGGCGGTGTTAAATGATAAGGAAATCAGGATAATGTGCCAGATTTTGAGCGGACCAAGGAGCTCATCGGTTGCAGAATACTAAGGCTTCGCACATATTACGTTCTATGCAATACACCCGAGCAATATCTCGTTTAGATCATCAAAGATCGTGCAGACATGGTATCACAAGTTAATTGATCTCAACTATACCATGGTCAGATACACCTTCGTAAGAGTTAAGCGGACAATTTGATGCTCCATAATTCGAAATTAAAAAGGGCATTTCGTTCAAGTTATTACGTATTGAACAAGGGTGATTCGTATTTAGTGAAAAACATGCGAGTGAAAAATTTAACGGTTGAACTTTGGTTACAGTCAACAGAAGTTTGCTTTTGCTCTGTTCTAATCGTACTGATTCTGTACTACTTACTCTTTATTCTTCTAGCGATTACACTCTCTTACCTACCGACAAAAGCGTAGGTGCAAGTCTTTGGTAGACAACCTTCACGAGTCAAAATGGTATTTAAGCGTCAGTCATCCAGCTCTCATTCTTCATCGAGTCAGTCTCTGATGGCTGGATTCGTACGTGTGGAAGAGGACGGTGAGAAGCAGCGCAAACGCTCACTATCAGCCTCTTCGCCATGTTCTGTTGCAACACGTGAGGGTCGCGCAAGCACCAAGAGCAAGGTCTTCTCCCGTTGGCTCTATGGCGTTCTACGTGGTGACACATTGCAGCTTTATTGGCGTCGCACTGACTACAAACGAAAGACACCGCCATTAGACACGCTCGTATTGCAGATGCAACCTGCCGCGCCAAACGAGAGTGTTTTCAGCTTCGACAATGAATGTCTCTATGTACGAGCCAAGGAATCGGGTCATGTCATTGCTCTTCGCATTTACCAACGCAAAGACATTGTCCGGTGGGTCACGGCGTTCTATTACCGAAGTATTGGAAGTGAAGAACAACTTCAGAAGAGTGGCAGTAATCCACCAAATTTTATCAGGTATGTTGCTTCATCTTCGGATAATATAGAGCCACAGATGCGCAGAAGGAGCGTTTCATTTCAAGAGAAGCCACTGGTGTGGGTTCTGCCTGAAGTTGCTTATGATCCGGACGACCTCTTCTATTCGGAGAACGACTATGAAAGGTTTCTCATGGACAAGCCATCACACTTTTCTACGTTCATGCGCACAATTTATTCTAAAACAGCAGCCAAGCTGCGCGTGTCTACAAAACGATGACTTTAAGATGGTTGGCTATCGCTTACTAAATTTTTGTAGCTTTCGTGTCGTTGTGTGAAATAGTACTTTTTCGGTTCTCCCGTTTGTCTTATGACATCAAATCGAACATAGCGTCGAACTCACAACACTTTAACGTGCAAAGTGTACGAAAGAATTGTCGCCAGAGTAACTAAGCGACTCGTCATCATGTTAGATCCAGACCAGTATTCTTGATAGATTCAAATAACCAGGGAGCACAGGTACTTTACCTAACAGCTGGAGTATTATAGGGTTGATACACGAAATGGATCTTTGACGTTTCCATTTTAATACATGGGAACAGTCGCAACAGACTACAGCTTCAATGACAAGTGTCGTGTAATTACTGTGGACACTTATCCAATTTTTTTGCTCCAACTAATAAATGCCGCTACCTCCTTTCGTTGACCTATGATGTAAATTGCGATCTTAGTCGATGGGTACAACCCCATGAGAATTTTGTAGCGTCTATTTGCTGTTGTGCGCTTAATTTTGACATAGAGAAGGACTTGGTCAGGAATGAGATTAAGTTCCTTTTTGCTCTTGTTTTGTCCCAAACCTGCTTTCGTGACTACGTTACCTTAACTACTAGCAAAATTATTAAATAAAGGGCATAAACAATTTCAGCAGTGGTATTTAATCGTAACTCTATTTCTATATATAAACACATATCACATCGTCAAGACTTTTCGCGGAAAGCCCCGAAACGCAGACAAGACAACTCTGAAGGTTGTGTGGTAAGTTTGCATAGCTTAATTAGTGCCCCAATATTATATACCACTTAGCATGACACTTCATCGCTGTTGCAACGGCGTTGTGATGTAATCCTGGCAAAAAGCATCGAATTGACAGTTCGATATGTATCTTCCAATATGTACCATTTTTGTGTATTCGGTTACAGATCTGTGTGAGATTCGAAAGCATAAGCGCCCACAGGCTAAAGCTGTAAACGTATAGGGCCAACTCCCTCCCCTTCCCGCACTCAAAGAAAATCATTTATATAAAAGATTCACGATGTTGCATGTGTCAGTATTATCAAGGTGTCGGACTTCTGCGTATGCTGATAATATTACTTTTTCTGCTTTGAAATAGGGAAGAATACTAAACCGTCTGGAGACTCTACAGATGGACCTGTAAATAGATTTAGTCTTTCTTAGATGGGCATGTTGCAGTTCAGGATGCCACCTCAGTGTTCCTTCCAGGTATCAGGGGAAGTGCCCATTTTTATTGTTACCCATTTACCAAGTACTTTGGGCTAAGTTTATGATTTAAGTGAACCTATATTTTGTTTTCGTCCATGGAGCAGGGTAAATGGCACGTGCAGCTGAACGAGGGTCGCGAGAGCGACCTACCACACAAGCTTGAGCCTGTAGGCTATGTCAAAGGCGTTTCAACCGACAAGGCACGTCTGTAGCTAATTACCTTTGGAATATCTCTGAGCTCCATTTTGTTTTATCACATAGGACTCGAATGGAACTGTCACCAAGACAGCCACCAACACTATTGAGCTAAAGAAGAAGGTTAGTCAAGAAAAAAACTGTTTAAAGCTTTTAAATTAACCCAAATTTACGGAACAGCGCGCTATGGAGATTGGGATGGCGCCATTTAAGAGTCTACTTCAAACAGGCTTTATGATGTGGATGAGCGGCAACTCCATCAACATCTTTAGCATCATGATCACTGGCATGATTGTCATGAACACTGCGAAGTCACTTTTTAATATGAATAACGGTACAGTTTTTTATATTGCTCACAAATTGGTTTTGCTACGATCATTAACCGATTTTTTGGCAGCCTTTGCCTCAGTAAATGACGGTGTGATTAGTCTTACGCAGCCTAAGGCTATTTACATGGCTGGCAGTTTGATTGGAGCGGCTATGGGCGTGTACAAATGTTCCAATATGGGATTGTTGCCAACAACCAGCGCCGACTGGACGTGGTTGTTACCAATAAAACATGCGGTCGAGACGTCGTCGTTCGCTTACAGTCTTTAAAAGTAGCAAGCAGTGGAAACGTTGGTATTCTATCAGTTTATCTGCATGAGTTCGATGGAATCAAAACAAAAAGCAAAGGAAAGCAGCCATCGATACAAGATAAACTCGGCAGACTGCTGCACCCGTTCGTTAAAAAAGTAATACTTAATTGTGGAGACTAATTGCCACTTATGTCAAGCGATACTTAGCGCGGATAATAATTACCACTTCAGCCACAACGGTGTCGGTACGTAGCACCTCTACTTGTCGTGCTTCACTGTGGTCCTTCAAACATACGGTCTTCTCTTCTCAAGAGAAAAATAAAGTCTATGACACGTTGCGTCCACTTGTCTGCGGTGGACAGCGGTACTCCTCAGGAAGTAAAGATCGCTGCAAAGCGTTAAATGCAAACACACGTCGGCCAGTATTCTTCAGAGCATTTTCAATTCGCACACCTTCAGATCGCATCACAGATACAATGCCTGCTTTCTTTTGCTCTCGAAGACCGTGATGCTGCACAAGAATACGGCCCTGTTCCAATGTCACTGACATTCCCGTTCGATCTTTCGCCGACTTGCAGACTGTTACACGTCCTCCCGATATGCTGCGACACAAGTCTGAACTAAGTTGCAAAATCTCAGGACGCTTTTTCCTAGCCTGTCTTCCAGCTGTGCCGATGAGTTTTTCAAGCTCCCCCAAGATTCGGTAAACCTCTTCCCGTGACGGTCCAAATACAGTCACATCTGTGCCATGCGAAGGAGAATATACCGAGTCAGTTGAATTTACTCTTAGGAGCTCCCGCTTTTGCATCATCTCTGCTTGACGCCTGGACATAAAGTTACAGTAGCGATCGCAGTAATTGCGTAGCGTCTTGAGGCTGTTGGCATTGATTACGTCCTGTAGTCGTGTTACCGAGGATCCCGTGTTGTTTGCCAGTGTCTGTCTTTCATTAATTCCTTGCGTAAAAAGCACAGGACATACCTTGATAGGTCCACCATGACGAAGCGCTTTTGTCAGCTTGACCTTTCCTGATCGTAGCTTGATACGAATAACTAGGTGCGTAAATGGAAAAAGCTTATCAACGGAGGCGGGAGCCAGTGACTGAACATGTCCCCAATTGTTGCCAGGTCCACCCAAGAACCGATGATTACGTGCTTTGATAAAAGTACTTAGCAATCTTTGGCCCACACCACTCAGCGAAGAAGATTGCGATCTTAGCTCTTCTCTCGATAACTGTGTCCCATTCATAATTTCTGAGTCGACAGCATTAGCTGAGCTTATTTCAGAGAGAGCGTCATCCATGCTTGTAAATACATCTACGTCTATCACACCGCCGATGCCTGTTAAATGGCTAGAGTTCGTTGAGTTGAATGATGCAGATCCAAAAGATCTCTGATGCACGGACTGACGCTGCTTGACCTGCATTCCCCGACGCTTTGTTGAACGCGTGTCGCGTGCAGCCTCACGAGAGCTTCCGCTTGCTTCGGACAAGCTGCGTTTAGATTCTTCATCAACATTGTACGGTGCGAAGCGAGGCGACTTGTTTTCACTAGACTCTTCGTCCATCCCGCTAGTGTCTTCATGCTCATCCACCAAGACAAACCGGACATTGCGCAACTCATTCACGGCACCAGCCATATCCTCAAGCATTCCTGCTTCATTTCCATGGGTTGACACTAAACTCTCAACATTAAATAGAAAACCCAATTTACTCAGCTGCTCTAGCATGGCCTGACCATGTTCAAGCCGAGCGTGTTGCAATGCCAAGTCAATTTTGCGTGTAAAGGCCGTTACAAGCGCAGCCACAGCTTGTGGAAAGCAGACATCCATTCGTTTGCCAAGCATCCACTCCAAGTTGTCAGCCTTCTGCTCATCTTCTGTCCAGAGTGGTTTTTGATGATGTGCATATGTTTGCGGTTCACGAACACGTGGTTTAAGCTTAGAATGCTGCTCTTCAAGACCAAATATGCCACCATTCTTAAACTTGTAGATGTGAGCTGCCATGGCGCCAACGGTAACGATATCATACACGGCAGCACTCGCATTAACACCTGATGTCCCGCTGCTTCCAAAGCTCGTTTGCGCAACAGCATTTGCATTGCCGACCCACATTTCTTGAAGGTGCAAATTTATAGGAAGAAAGCGTAGCTGCGAATTTTTCTTCTCTGTACTAGCCTTGAAATAGATTTTTCGCTGATCACGGATTACATAGACACGTCGCAACTGACGCAATAACTCGACGTACTCTTTACGTTCGTGACAGCGTTGTAGCATCCACTCGCGGCATCGATTCAAATCGCCATCGTCTTGAATTTGTTGAATCAAATTCTCGTAGATACCGCGGTCTGAGCCTTTTTGTCGTTGACGATCATATGCTTCGAGTCGTGCAAGATCCATCTCAGCTATGAGTAGCTCCTTGGTGCGGTACCGAATGATAACTTCCAAAATTTGGCGCGGAATCCAATTGCTAAAGCGACTTTCCGTTAAGTCTTCTACTACCAACAAACCTTGTTCACGAATGTGGTACTGCTTGCTAATCGCTGGCGCTGATGCGTGGAGACCCCCGTCGACGCCATTAAAGCCATACTTTGCACCTGCAGCCTTCGGTATAACCGTATTGACGAGCAATTTTGGAGGTGCGGAGTTTGGGCCAAAGTGCTTGTACGAATCTTCAGTTGCAGTAAGCATAGTGTGCTCTGTTCGTGCTCCTGCTGTCACAAGGGTGCCAGTAGACACTGTAAACTCGGCAACTACACTAAGACTGTGCGGCAATATTGATGAGCCAGAGTTAAGATCTGATCCAGACCCCGGTCCTTCTACAGTGGACCCAGGCGATTCCATCTCAAACAGCTCATCGATCACCTGGGAGCTTAAAAATCCTCCAAATGCTTCCATTTCTACAACTGATGAATCCAATGTGTGCTGACTATCTTCATCATCAAAATCACGGTTGCTTTGCATCGCAGCCAAGACTTCGGCTGCGGTCATCCCAGAGTGATCTTCATGACTTACGGAAGCAGGGGCTGCATTTACTGAATAGACCACAAAGCGAAGTTTTTCAGCCGATCTACCGACTGGAATGCGAGGCACAGATAAAAATGTGTATAGGTAACGCTGAAGCTGAGAGGGTAATCCTGGTGCCGCATCCTTTGCACTTGCCATCACAGTATCAGTGTTGCTGGTCTGCCGCCACGAGCTAGACATGGTTTCCCTTCCCTCTTCCACCTCCAACCGCTGAATCGCAATAAAGCACCCGTGAGCAAAGTCCTCATTCATTTCCAGCGCCATTGAAAGACCAACATAGTCATCCGTAGGAAAGATTGTCGAATTCTTCAGCGAAAGTTGACTGGAAACTGCGACCGAACTTGCTTCGCCCTCCGCCATTATCTCTTCAATTCGCTCCAACGAGGCCTCAGTCCATCGATCCGTCGTGCTAAAAGTAAAGCTAGGCGTGCGAATCTCTCCGTAACCCGACTCCGACATTGGACTGCAATCGCTAGGTCTTTCTCGACCCGCATCGCGCAGAGATTGTGCCGTAGCATTCCACTGCAAAAAGATCAAACAGCATGGAGGAATGGAACAAGGCAGCCATACAGTAAAGATATAGAACCACGGGTAAGCAATTCCGCGAGTAGTACGGGAAATGATCTGAACCACCCAAGACAAGAGGTAAACTAAGGTGACGATACCAATGAGTGCGTAGTAGAGACGTAGCGCCTTTACTAACACGACCTGGTGCGGACCTGATGCACTGCCAAGAAGCAACTTTCCACGTCGCATGACCATCACACCTAACGCCATGACAACAAACGTCAAGACGAGAAAAATTCCGTACGTGACCGAAGTCGAGACCAAGAAAAAGTTGTCGTCATCATCAGCGTAGCACGCCCATAAATAACCTTGAATTTCTGAAAAGACAGTGGCCGACGTGTCAGCATTTCTATTACACTGTTGGTAAGCAAGTGTTGTGACATCATTTTCCGATTCGTAAACACGTGCGATCAGCGTGTGGTAGTTGAGCATATAGCATATCTGGAAAGCGTAAAACAGCACATTGAGCATCACAAACGCCACTGTCGTAGTAAGCTTCGGCAGCTTTCTAAGTCGCAAACTTAAGACTGTTCCCCAGTGAAAGCACACAGCTGTGAGCATAGTGAACGTAAAGCACAAATATGCGTGCATGATGTAGAAGTAGGTGCTACCACGACTAAAGAACCAAACAAAATTGTTTACAATTGCAGTGGCCAGGGCTAACACGGTGCAGATGGCTGTAATATCTGTCCAGATGGACCCCAATGAGAGCGAGAGACCATTTTTACGAATTGCCACACTACAGAATGCCAGCGAACCTACAAGAACGACCATCGTCACGTAATTATATGGGCTGGCAGTAGCACCAGACGTCAGATATACCGAAATTGCCGAAAAGGTGCCACCAATAATCAAAAGATCGTCCTGAGAGCGAACCTCAATAGATGTGGCATCCAGACCTGAAAAGGCACCCGAGGGATTCTGAACTGTGTCTACTCCGAGACTCACCCAGCCGATAGAGATGGGTTCCTCCACAAGTAGTGTCCACGTATTGTCCGAAGGCGAGTATGTTGTCTGTGTAAAGTTGCGTAGGCTGTCTGCTTTTAATCCTGTCATGGAAGCAGCATTTAAAGCGTAGATATCATCCACATCCGCACTGACGAGCGGAAAAGCTTCCCAGGACCATACAGCATCGGCAGCAAAGCCCCATCTAGAACGAAAACTCAATTGAATCATACTGCCCGTTGGAATGTTGGCATCCGTGTAAAATGTAAGACTTGCGTTGCCTGAATTGCCGGGATAGATATTTTCCGGCAGAAACGAACCGCTTGATAATGTCGCGCCAATCAAGTCCGTGACACGTACGTAAGTGTTGAAGACAGTATTTTCAGAGTCATTAAAGATGAAGAACACTGGTGTAAGGTTTGATGCCGTCGTATATGTCACGTTGGACATAGAACTCATGCTGTCGTTTAATCCTGAGGGGGTCACTACACCATCGAAAAAAAACACAAATGTGTCACTCGTCTGGTAATCTTCAGAAATATCGACGGTCAAATAAGTTCGATTCTCGCCAAAAAAGGTTGATACTTCGCACGTAGTCTTCTCCTGCGGAGCGTTAGTTGTCGAGTTTCCCACTCGCTCCAGATAGCACGAGCAGTTTTCAGTAAAACTGTATCCAGGAGGACTGGCTAGCATGATCTGGTGGACCGTATACGTTTGTCCGCCCATGCCACTGGGATAAAAGACATTTAAAAAGTCCATGGGCGAGATAGTCACTTCAAACGTACCGTTCGTCTGGCCTGGGTAATTGTTCGCTTTGCCCCGCCAAACGTTTGAGTCAAGTAAAAGACCACTGCAGCACTCGTCATTACATGTCCAGTCATACCCTTCCGTAAAATACCAGAGACCTTGACCGTTGCAAAATTCCTGTTTATTACTGTCACTCTGACATGTAGGGAAAGCCACACATGGATACCAAGCCTGATGATTTTGGGCTCTCCGACCACTATATTCACAACATGGTAACCCACTGCATTCACCATGATTTGTACCAAAGAGATTTCGAGGCTGCCGTTCGGTACAACACACTAATGACAGATCCGGGTCGCCTCCTGCCAGAAGTGCACTCGCTGAAGACGCAGATGATGTAGATGTCACACAGCAGGCTTCACAGTCGTCTGCCTCGGTAATCAGTGCTGTATTTGGTCCTGTATTTGATACAAGCGCATTTTGAGCCTGTATTCTGCGAATCAACAGTGCCGCGAGCGCTACCAGCGTCACCTGAGGTCTTCTTCGTCTTCGCATTTACTGCTCGAATCTTTAGGGGAAATAAAACTATGTACACGCGTAGGTAGTAATTTAAGGGCTAGTCCGGCACTAGCCGGCACTTCGCTCGCTTCCTTGCTCACAGGCACAAAGCGTACGGCCAGAGGAAGTGATGACCTTCGTCCGTCGTCTCTGCGTGGCGAATTTCTAGAAAAACGGCTGCTCACTGGGACTTAATAAGGTGAGTTGCTCTAAATTTAGATGGGTCACGAGATACATAAACGAGGAGCAATTCTTTGACATTATCAAAGTCCATTTCCAGTCTCTTTTACAGTGTATTGACTTTCGGTAATACGAGGAGACACGGATAATGCTCATTATAAACACTGTCATAGACAGGTGTTGCTTTAACAAAGGGATTTGACACACATTTTCATTTTCAAATAGTCAGAGCAGAGAATGCAGTATACCTTCTCATCAAGCCTATAGAGTCGGTTACTTCATGGTGTCGCTATGTAACGGCAGCCTGTTTCATACATGGGGTTTCTTTCCCCTATCATTGATTTATTTACAGCAAACTAAGAACTGCGGCGCAAAGTAGCTTGTCACACTGCCTTAAAATAACTTGATGACGATCACCAAATTGGAAAATACTTTACATCATAATACAGAGAAGCTATTACGTGCTTCAAATCAACAAGCCATATCGAAGACGAGAAAATATTGTGGAAAAGTCAGATTCTCCTGTGTCAGCATCAGTTTATCAGGCGAACGAAATCGTGGATCTGTCAAATTGCCCCGCTTACAATATTACAGGCGAATCATTCTGCGTTTGTCTTCGACACATTTCTTAAAATTGTAAATTTAAAGTCAGCATCCGCATATGCTTCATTTTCACACTCTTAGCCCTACCGCTGAAAAAAAACAAAGCTTCTGAGTGTATGAAGGATGCAGGGCCTCATAAATTCGTGTCTACTTCTCGATAAGGTCTATCGAATGAGTATCCGGTATCGAAATAGTTTAATACTGTCGGTATAGCGACGTATTAATAAAAGCGTTTGGTGTGGTTCATATGTGGCCCCTTAATGCATGGGATACTGTGGCACCTTGCATAGAAAAGGCTCTTGGATTCAAAGAGTTCGCATTGCTAAACGCACGGATGAATATCTAGAAAGTTGTCCGTTGGACGCGAGCCACGATCTCTAGTACCAAGTACGCTTTCGGTATAATTTCTCTTAAGATATAAGTTGCTGGAGCTGATATTTAGTACATGCGCTTTACCATGTTAGCTCTTTTGATGCATTATGTGATGTTAGTATCCTACAGACCTCTCCTTTACCATCACTCTAGTCTCGCATTTGATACTGCATCGATGTACTCTACCACGAGATTCTACCACGTTAAATCGTCCAGTACATTGAATCATTGCTTTAAGTACAAAGAATAGAAGAATATTTCTGTTACACCCTCACTCGCAATCATTGAATCCCAATTAATACTCGTCAGAACCATCCTCGGCGAGGGGCCTTATCCAAAGGCTTGTAATCGAGCTATGTAAGCACGTGCCACGTTTTTTTTGTTGCGAGTTTAAGCTCATGGCACAAGGAACCGCAAATCAAAACGAGGCGCATGTCAGCGATGGTGAAGAAGGCGAGATTTTTCTAATTGGGCTAGTCTAAACAAATTACCGAGTGCCAATTCACCACCTCCGTTTTTAAAGCTACGTAATTACACCGCTGAAGCCTGCGGTGTTTGCTCAACGTCGGGTGATCTACACACATCTTGCTTGCTACCCGAATCGGAGAGGGATAATACTTTTCGATATGGTGACGATGATAAGGTGGTTGTTATCGCGAGGGAACACGACCGTACTCCAAGCGCCAACTAAGCCTACTTTTTGACAAGCAGAAAAATTGGAGGACATTCCAATTTACTAAAGCCCGTCGACTTGCCGTGGTACAGCTCTTGGACAGTTAAGTGTGTGGGTCTGCAGCTTGATTACTACCCGATACTCCATATATGAGTCACAGAAAACGATTTCTTAGTAATATTGTTTGAATCTAGAACAGCAGCGGCGGTGCCATATATGAAGATCGAATATTTGGTACTGCGGTCCAGTGTTAATGCCAAGTGTTATGTAGCTTAGTTCGAGCATTGTGTGATGTATGATTTTTGATAGCTCAAAAGGGACCTATGTTTTTTCTGGTAGTGGTCCAACAAGTGACTATCTCGTTACTCTAGGTTATGCTAAAATCAATCATTCTAGTATCAAACTTGGAATGGTCAGCGACCCGCTTTTTAGTAGGAAGCGCGTTGCGCCACGTAGTGCTGTCGCTTGCCCGAAAGAAAAAATGTGCCGAATTATAAGTATAAACGTCGCTAGGGTAGACTTTTGAAAATGCGAATTCTAAACAGTCAGTAGTTTAGCAGCACCGCCATTTTACCAGATACTGGTGATGGTTATGGCCAGTTCAACAGCCACAAAGTCATCGACATGAAAGCGGGTAGCGTATCGCTTATCGAGCATGGTCTCCCGTGGCAAGCTTAAATAATATAGTGCCTTGTCTTCGACAGAATCAATGATAAATATGCGCTTTACATCGCACCAATTTCTAATCAAAAACTGAGTTTACTATCCTGTTTCGGTCTAACACGACTTGGTCACATATCCAGAATTTTGCTCTCAAAAGAGGAATGAACTTACACACAGACAGCAAAGTACACGGCTTGGAATCAGAAGCAGATGTTCCATTGCATTAAATTTGCCGTTACTTTGTCGTCTCGATCTTCACGTACAATCATTACACGACAACACGAATATATTTCTCTTGTAAATGGAAATGTCTGCTCCTTCGACATTTAAAAATGACATCTTTGCAGAAGATCCTGCTCAGTTATTTATATGGCCTTATATTTATTTTTTTACTTGCAGCTTATCTCTGAGTCCACATGTCAAGGACTTGTGTTTTGGTCTTGCTTTCATCAGTTTTTGTACATTAAAACCGTTTTTAACATTCGGTGTCGGTAAGAATACGCACGTCATTTTTCTACTGTATGGCCTTTCACAACAAGCAAGTTACCACATTCGAAAGCTCTGCCACGCGCTTGTGAAGATTCTGCGGCTGGACGAAAACCATGATTCGATGGGCTAGCTGGGTCGAACACCGGATACATCCTATTCTTGTGATTGTGCTTTTGCTGTCGTCGTATCGTTTAATGTCCACCACCCTATACTCGAGATGATAACAGTTCTAGAAAAGACGCTGACATCTGACATACGTAAATCCCATTTGAAGCCGCAAAAAGTGATGCCTCGTGCAATTTTATATATAGTGTGCGGCTATCAAAGACAAAGAGTACGCAGAGGCTTCAAAGATGCCAAAACGGATACAATGTCCGTGTATTGCGACGGGACACTAATTATCGTGTCGGAGATTCATTTGACCTCTTGTAGTCTCTTGTG